ACTTGTAGACAACAATACTAAATGCCAACTCAAAGTCATTGGTCAAGACAAGTTACCATAACCAGGGAGAAACTTTTCCAAAGCTAATAAGGGATATAGAGCAGGGAGACATTGACCAAAATTAACAATAAAATTAATAAAAATAAGCATCTTCAAAGTCGCACCTAAAATCTCAAAATCATTGGTCAAGATAAGTTACCATAACTAGGGAGAAACTTTTCTGAAGCTATTAAGGGACATAGAGCAGGGAGACATTGACCAAAATTAACAATAAAATTTATAAAAATAAGCATCTTCAGAGTCGCACCTAAAAACTCAAAACCAAGAACATTAAGCTAATATAATGTAGGAAACTATTCATAAAACCATAACATTCAAAACCAGCCAAAGTGTCGGTCAATACTGACTGGAGATCTCAACTATGAACCATTGCTTCTACTCTTCCTTTACACCACAGAAAGTTACCTACTGCCTCTACTACTTTAACCCCATTAATCCTCATAACTGTAGTATTTGTATCAGCTGCAACTCCATTAATTATAGTATATAAATATTTCCAAGGGAACAATTAAAGTCTATATATAAGATAATTCTAGATCTAAAATCATCAAAACAATAAAATAATTCAAACAAAATCCAGGATGAAAAATTGTTCGCAACAAAAAGAAAATTAACATTTCAATAATCTCATAAACAAAATCATGAATCATTACCAATATTAAGGATGTTTAGAAATGAATAAGAATTTTCGTGAACTGTATGGAAAAAACTAAACTTCTCTTATAAAGTAATATGGTAGAAGAGTATATCTAATATGATCAAATAAGAATGGGAAATCAAGAAAGACAATGAAATAATATGTATGGATGTGTAACTAAGTAAACAGATAATGCCTCAGATTAGCATTTTGGCACATTATTCCTTGCATCAACAACCCCAAGGTAACAACCATGGGTGCGCAGAATGTTGTTGCAGCTCATGCCCAAATGTCCTCATCACCAGCAATCATTTCCAACAATTTTTTTTACCACCAATTGATCAAGAAAACCCGTATTCGATTCATATTAAAATCAGTCATTTAAAAAAATAAATGAAAAATATCTTTGCCGGGGAGGTATGGTAGGAAAAATAAAATGGTTCAGTGTTTATCTTTCAATTACTTTCCAGTTTTATTGACTTTTTATTTCTAAAATTATTAAATTAACTTGATAATATAATTGTCATTTAGATAAATAATGTGAAGTGACTCAGGCACTAACAAAGGGTGCCAGAGTTTATTTTCTATAAAGTTTTATTTGGGGGTTATTAACTAAAACTTCAGGAGAGTTTAGAGTAATTTAACCCTAGGAAAGGAAAACAAAATAATTACATAAGAGAGATTTGAAATTAACGCCTAAAGAAACAAACATTAATGGACAGCCCCGAACTCAATATTCCGACATCCAAGTCCTTGCCAATTTACCTCATACTTACGCTATTAAGCTATGAAGGAATGAGCTCAAAAATGTACAGTAAGTGCTCATAGAGAGTAGTTGATAGGCTAGAGTTCCAACTAAACTCAACCATGATAAGCTGATATATAGATTCCATATACCACTTTCACCACACCAGATGAGAGGGAAACCAAGGACCAGCTTGGTTCAGTTTTATGTTGTTTTCAGTTCTCTGAAAACAATACAGAAACTTGTTTGGTAACCCTTTCTGAAAAAACTGTGTTTTCAGAGAACCGCCTTTTATAGTTCTCTGAAAATAGTTTTCTGTTTTGTAAGTTCTTGAGAACTGCTTTAAGAAAGCTTAACTAAAATATTTTTACATTCTCCAATGCGATTCAAGAAGGAAACAATCAATTGCCATGTTAGGAACACTTCTCCAAAAATTGAATTCACCAAAACAAACTATAGCTCGTGTGCCAGGTTCACTAGGTGCTACCTTGGAAAAAAGGTTCACTAGGGTCCAGTTCACCCTTTATTTTGCTACATTACCCCACTCTGCCCTAAAAGGAAAAAAAAGTCCAGATGTTTCACATGATAAATTTGTTATAGTCAATATTGGTACTCTCAACCCATCAATACATGGCTTTTTTCAACTCATTGCTATTCTAAATGGTGAAAATTTTGTTGACAGTGAACCTTAGTGGGTTATATTTATACACAGGAATGAAAAAACGTGAATTCTAATAATCTCCAAAACAGAATATTAATAGCAAAAATCAGCAACTAAAATCATCATTCACTCCAAAGAAAGACGCGACAGTTCAAAAAAGCAAATTCACATAGAAAATTTTAACATTGAAAAAATTTCAAATTTGAAGCATTGTTCAGAAAATAATAATGGGAACATTTAGAAAAAAGAATATCAGAGCCTGAAGTGAAAATCAGTAAGAAAATAAGAACTGCGTCAGTCTAGGATTAGCTGGAATCAGTCAAAAACTTTGTTAACAATTAGAATTATTTGTGTCTCAACAACAAAAAAAGTATAATTGAAACGTAGGCTTCAATCAACACAGATAAACAATCCGCAAACTAAAGATAGATAGAACATGATATATCAGATTGTAGATACAATACTAAATGCCAAATCAAAATCGTTGGTCAAGACAAGTTACCATACCCAGAGAGAAGCTTTTCAGAAGCTAATAATAAAGGGCACAGAGCTGGGAAACACTGACCCAAATTAACAATAAATTTAATAAAAATAAGCATCTGCAGAGTGAAACCAAAAAACTCCAAACCAAACATGTTTAGCTAAGATATGTAGGAAAACAATTCATAAAACTGTGATATTCAAAACCAGGCAAAGTTTGTCAGTCATACTGACTTGGGATCTCAACAGTGAACCATTGCTACTCTTCCTCTACACCACAGAAAGTGACCTGCAGCAAATCCCTACAACCACTAGCCTTTAATACTTTAACCCCATTAATCCTCACAACTGTAGTTTTTGTATCACCTGCACTTCCATTAAATATAGTATATGAATATTTTCAGGGGAACAATTGTAGTCCATAGATAAGAGGATTATATATCTAAAATCATCCTCTCTTTTTTCATTACAAGACCAAGAGACAAATTAATAACACAGGAATTACCTAACATCGAAGCAATAGAAATAAGTCAAACTAAACCCAGGAAAAAAAAATTGTTCACAACAAGAGGAAAAAGAACATTTAAATAATCTCATAAACAATATCATGAATCAATAACAATATTACGGAAATGACTGAATTTTCTTGAACTGTATAAAAAAAACTAAACTTCTCAGATTAGCATTTTGGCACATTATTCCTCGCATCAACAACCCCAAGGCAACAACCATGGGTGCGCAGAATGTTGTTGCAGCTCATGCCCAAATGTCCTCATCACCGACAATCATTTCCACCAATCAATCATGAAAATCCAAATACAATTCATACTAAAATCAGTAATTTGAAAAAATAAATGAATAAATATGGTAGAAGAGTATATCTAATATGATCAAAGAAGATCGAGAAATCAAGAGAGATCAATGAAATAATATTCATAAATTTGTAACTAAGAAAACAGTCAAGAAGCCTCAGATTAGCATTTTGGCACATTATTCCTTGCATCAACAACCCCAGGTAACAACCATGAGTGCGCAGAATGTTGTTGCAGCTCATGCCCAAATGTCCTCATCACCGGCAATCATCTCCACCGATTTTTTGACCACCGATCAATCAAGAAAATACGCGTCCAATTCGTATTAAATTTAGTCATTTATAAAAATAACATGGTTTAGTGATTTTTTTTTTTTTTTTTTCAAGTTCTCTTCAATTTTATTGACCTTTGTTTTAAACAATATTAAATTAACCTGAGGGGTAGTATGGTCATTTAAATAAATGATGTAAAGAGACTGGCACTGCAAAGGGTGCCAGAGTTTATTTTCTAAAAATTTTATTTGGGGGTTACTGACTAAAATTTCAAGAGTGGTTAGAGACATTTAACAAAACTAAATAATTACAAAAGATAGAGAGATTTGAAATTAACACCAAGAGAAACAAACACAAATGGACAAACCCGAACTCAATCTCTCAACATCCAAGACCTAGCAAATTCACCTCACTTAAGCTATTAAGCAATGAAGCAAAGAGATAAAAAAATATACAGAGTTCTCATACAGAGTAGTTGATAGGCTAGAGTTCCAACTCAATTTATCCATGATAAGCTGCTATATAGATTCCGTAGATGACATTCACCACACCAGATGAGAGGGAAACTAGGGACCTGCTTGGTTCAGTTTTCTGTTGTTTGCTGAGAACTGAAAACTTTACAGAAACTTGTTTGGTTGCAGCTTCCTAAAAACTGTTCTTTAGACATTTTCTGAGTTCTTGAGAACTGTTTTAAGAAACTAAACTAAGCAGGTCCTGATTCTTGTGGGCAGGAGCACTGTGTGGTCCTATTGCTATATATCTTTCAAAATGCTCGATCTTTCCCTTGACATAAGGGTCATTTTGTTCGCACAAGAGTGCTCTATGTGCTGTTACTAAAAGACTACCTTAGTTACAGAATAACTAAAACAGTAGTAGCCCAAGATGAGACACAAACAGTTGGACCAAACCATAAGATTTCATGAAATTGCACACACACTGCATGGCAGTCCAGGACTAGATTCATGCATTGACTTATTAGGTGAGGTCCTTGTAGGGAGTTGAAGCCTACTACTTTTCAGTAAAAAACAAAATATATGAGAAATTATATTGACAATGGCACTCCAATATAATCAAAGGAACCAAATAATCTCAACAGTATCTATATCTAAACTTCTGTGAAGCATTACAGCAAGAATGACCAGACCTTATGCTAAAGAATTTAGGAAAGAATTAAATGCATACAAACACTAGATAATCATGTAGACATGTCGGAGGTCCATTACATATATACATCCTTGTGCCCAACTTTTGTAATAAATGGGAAATGAAATTTGTGAATACCATCATGCATAAACTAATTATTCAGAATATAAAAGTGACGAGAAATGCAACATGCAAAATAGAAACTGTTATTCTTTTTATTAATTGTTAAACATCCAATGTAATCACAGTTAACTATGTCAGGCAATTCAACGATCTTGTTTCCCAACAATTACACTTACAACATTTAAAAAATCTAATTTGGGCTTTTCATTATCAGAGGTTACTATAGTTGGAAAACACTACCCAAGAAACAAGTGCAGATACAGAACCTAAGTTGTTGAATCTTGAATTGTCTGCAAAAGATGCTCAATTCTGTACTTCATAACAGGTTGACCTTTCTTCGTTTTTTTGAACATTTTCTCTCTTAAAGCTTTTCTACGAGATTCAGATCTTTCTCTTTCTTCCTTCTTTGTTTGAATAATTGCCTCCCTTTCACGGCTTGCCTCCTCTTCCTCCTGGCGCTTCCTTTCATACAATTCTCTCAAGCTTTGAGAACTATTCTTATTGTTTTTCTTCTTCTGCCAATTCATCCTACCAGATTCTCCAGTTCCATTCTCATCCTATAGTAGCAAACAAAAATGGAAAGTGAGACTAGATTCTGAGATCTATGTTCAAGTGGACTTCCAAGACTTTTAAGATGTTATTAGAAGATTAATGGAAGCAGGTGTTACAAATTCTGATTAGATGGGTATTATCAGGTACGAGAACTAGACTTCCACCATTATAACCTGAAAGTGGATTCTGAGTACCATGTTCAAGTGGACATCCAAGACTTTAGGATGGTATGAATAAATTTAGGAAGGCAGATGCAATAAAAATGGGACTAGATGAGTACAATCATTTGCAGAAAATCCTTATTCAGGCAAGGCTTCAACATGATGGTATTTTCCCATTATAAATTTCTAGAATAAACCTGAACAGCAGTGACCTATCAGATGAAATAAATAAGGGATTCAAACCTCTAACAGTCTCTTAGATGAGTGAGGACCATTCTGTTGACTTTGCTGCTTTAGTGACTTCTTATACTTGCTCACGTATTTAGCATTCTTATAGAACTCCCTCTGCTTCTCTGACAAAAATGACAAAGAGCAGTCGCTAAAAAAGGGTAAACAAGGAAAAGTAATATTACATAGTTAAATCATGAGAAAAAGTTAAAAATAGTGGACCATAACTTAACAAGGATAGAGTAGCCATTCATGGCCCCTAATGACCAATTTCTACAAATGTAAGTGTTAAAAAGATTCATGAGTTTGTAAGCTTCTTTACAGATGGACAAAGTAAGCAGGATGGAAACATTTTTTTATGGTCAAGTGAATGTAATAATACATAAATTTATTTATCTTTCTATACAAGAAAAAAGAAAATTGATCCAATTTATATTAAGGCATGAATTTCATTACAGATAAACAAAAATAAATAAATCTTACCCGTCCACCAAAATACGAATCACTACTGCTCATGTTTACAGACTCATTTAAAATTCATGGGAGTGTATTATGGGAAACAAAAAGAATAATTCATAGGACCAGGTGCAAATAGCGCCACACAACAACAGCTCCAAACAATAATTATTTTAATGTAACCATATCTTAAATAAGCATTCCAAATTTTTGCAAACAAATAATTGAAGAGAAACATTAAATCCACCAGATGACTAGCAACTAAGATAGAATCAAACCCACTAGCACGACATTTTCAAATAAGACTGTACCACAAAGAAAATTGCAAATCAAGAGAAAGATAATGTACAACAAACCCTAGATTTCGATGATCTCATGTATGCGAAATCCTTGTGTATATCTATGATTCTATATATATAAAAGAAAGTAATATCTTGAGTTTTAGGAGAGAATATACTGATCAAGGCTGGGTTGTAGTGTTCGCTCTTTGTTTTTATGTTAGCGAATGCTTCGAGCGAGAGCCCACCCCCTCCCAATCTCCTGATGTTCCTCTTCATCTTCTTCTTATTGATCGAGTCTGAGCTCTTGATTTTCTCTCTTTCTTCATTGCGATTATCTTTGGAGGTTCGACTCTTCATCGAGGAAAGCACAGAGACCAATCGATTGGTCGGAATTGGGGTAACTAATGGAATTGATGTAAACAATCTTATAGGAGTATCCGAAACCCTTTTTTTTTTTTTGGCTGCCAAAACCCTAATTTTGCAGTGTGTTTTTTTGATGGAGAAAGCGAATGGGCAAAATGGAGTGAGAAAGGTCCTAATCATAGTACTTCGAAGTGTGAAATTGGAAGTGTAAGACGACACCGTTTTGGTGACTGAAATCTAGTGACGAGTTTTGGTACGGATGTCAATTTAGCCCACCCGAAATGTAAGTTTGGGCTAATAAGTTTGGGACTGTTTTGATCTTGCTTTGGTCGAATATCTTGGGCTTTGATTTGCTTAAAGGGCTTCCCCAATTGTTAGGCCTGTCTTTGTTCTTAGTCGGCCTTGTCCATTGTTTGGCTGACTATAGTCTTGTTACATATTTTACTATTTATACAAGTGCTTGAATTTCCCAAAAATAATAATACTAATAATAATAATAAATATATCAAAAAATATTCTTTTATTAGGTATAATTTTTACTTTTCTTTTTTCTTTTTCCTAATTGATAATTTTAAAATTTAAATTTTAACATTTTTTTTCATGATTGTTAAGTATTTGTCTATACTTAATTTTATACAAAATTTATCATAAAAAATTTCTAAGTTTGAATTATTTTTTAATATGTATATCGGGTTGCCCAACTCCGATTCAGAGTGGGGGCAGGTTTGGGATAACTTTTTATTTGTGATATAGGTGCCTCGTCCTAATACGGTTCTTAGTCTATTGTTGATTGAATTAGATGGAGTCAAATAATATGATAAGAGCACATGCATACATGAATGGAATCAATCATAGTTGATGATACATTCTTGACTTTTCAAAGCACTGCATAGAATGGAATGTCGCTGCATAAATTTCTTACTCGAATGAAAAATATAGAAGAAATAAATAAATTATGAACGTGATGACCTCTATTTCTCGGTTCGAGTCCATTGGTGTTACTCAAACCAATTTGATTCGAGACAATTTTTTGTGGAATTCGTTTAGGAGATTTATCTCGAGTTTTTTAAGACACAAATGGTGCAAGTATATTTATTCTTAAAGTGTTTCTACTTGCACCTACGTGGACTTAGTCAGTTATAATTCACTATATATCGTGCTACTCCAATTTATGGTCTCACATAAATCAAGTAATCATTCAAGAAAATCAAGTGAGACTACAAGTTTTTCGAGAATCAAATTGCCTCAAATTAAAAATAAAAATAAAACGTTTCTTGAGAATGTGCTGCCCAACGTGATGCTACAAGTTTGATATTTTTCTCTTTGATTTGATTTTGTGCGGAGTTTTAGGTGTCAGAGGGCTTGTGGCTGTAACTTTGGAGCTATTGTCTTGATGATGGTCTGACCTTTGGGTCACTCCAGTTTATTGCGTTTCTCCCATGATGATTCCATTGCAGAGTTTTAACCTTTGTTTTCTCCACAAATCTGGAGTCTATTCTTCATTTTATTGCTTTGCTTCATGATTTGTATGTCTTTTCTGGCTTGGCCTTTGTGCCTTTGAAATGACTTGAAACAAAAAAAAAAAAATCTTACAAATGTATCAAAAGGTCTTTCGGTATAACTTCCTTATCTTCAAAAAAGGGTGTGTGTGTTTGTTTTCATAAAAGAAAATAAAAATAAAATCTTACAAATGTGTAATGCTACAAATAACTACCAATTTTTTTGTAATTTTTTTTTAAATAGTGTCCAACCATATTCAATGAGAAATTACTGCATCCTTGCACATGGTCCAGACTAATAAGAGACTATGGAAAAATTGCTTATAAGACCTACTTTTAAGCTCTAAAAATAAATAAGTCCTACAAAAACTTATTTTTTAAAAATATTTTCAAATAAGTCCAGATTATGAATAACGAATATTTTTCAAGTATTGCCCTTTATTACTAAGTTACCAAATACAATTTTTCTCTCTAATTTTCATATTTTGTAACTGGTAACTTTTATAAAAATAAAAAGATTGTTACCAAAATAAATAATCCTAAAAAAAATTAATAAAGTATTTCAAATACACTTTTTGTAAATACTCTCATGTTAAAATATAATGAATTTTTTTTTTTTTTTCATTAAATACATTTATGAATAACAAATGAATTATTTCCATTCTTTTTTAATTTTCTACTTCATATTTTAACATGTGAGTATTTACAAAAACTGTATTTGAATCACTTTAATAATTTTTGTTAGGATTATTTATTTGGTAACAAATAAATTTTTATTTTATTTTATAAAAGTTCTTAGTTACAAAATATTGAAAGTATAGAAAAAAAATTGTATTTCAGTTAAAAAAAAAAAAAAAAAAAAAACAAACAAACAAACTTAGCAATAAGATTGATTGTTTAAATAACACGATAACTTAGCAATAACGCGATAACTTCTATTTCTAGAATGGAGTCCTATATTTAGGGTAGAGTGGAGCTACTCAAACCAATTTGATTCGAGAAAATCATTTGTGGGACTCTTGCAGGGTCGGATTCACCTCGAATTCTCTAAGACACAATTAGTGGCATTAATATATTTATTCTTAAAGTTATTCTACTCGCGCCTCTACATGTCTCACCGCACATAAGTCAAGTAATTATTTAAAAAAATCACTTGCTAGTTTCTCAAGAATCAAATTGCTTCAAATTTTTTTTTTTTATTTAAAAAAAACATGTTTCTGGAGATTGTGCTGCTATAAATTTCTTGAGAGTAATCTTACAAATGTGTAATGCTATAAATAAGGATCAAATTTTTATGTAATTTTTATAAATAGTGTCTAACTCTTGTCAATGAGAAATTATTCCATCCACACTTACATGGTGGGGACTAATAACAGACTCTGAGGCAAGTAAATGAGTAGTATAGTACTTTGTTATTGACAGAGTCATATAATAATTTTTAGTTTTTTCCATTAAAAATGATACTCCATCAAATTGATGATGACCTTGGCTTTCAAATGTGGAAGGGGGCTGGGTTTCGGTTACTAATGACACATGTTTCATTCCTATTTAAGCCACTTCACATTTAAAACAGTTGGTTTCATGATTACCAATTACTACTACTTTTATCTCTTTCTTTCAGTTTTCAAAATCAATCGTGTTGCAGTATTCTTTCTGTTTATAGATAGAGTGTATGAGTTGATCAGCAATACTTCCCCTATGACATGAAATTCATACGCTTGCTACTTTATATAGTAGACGACAATTGTATCAGTTATATCATTTACTAGTACTCTTACCAACTAATCCACACAAACTCAAATTTTGGTTTCTTTTTTTCTCTTTTAGAAATAAATCAATCAATCAAATCAAATCACTATTTTGATATCATTTCTTGATACATAGTTTCTTATGGAAGCTAAGGGAAAAAAAAAAAAAAAAAAAAAAAAAAAAAACTAAAATCCCTAGAAAGAAATGAGAGAATTGCTACGAAGAGTGTTAAATGGGCTTAGCTAGCTAGGGTTTTAAGCGGGCTGTCTGTGTGTGTGTGTGTATATATATATATATAGTGGGATACCTTAGGTTACTGCGCATTGTAATTTAAACAGGAGTTATCTGAAACATATATATTTCATTTATTTCAACAATTGCTAATCTCGAAAAAAACATGGAACAATTGTGACTAAATACATATATATTATTTGAGGGAAAAATAATGGTATCTAACCTCAATTTATTGTACGTAACATCTTTTTTGGGGGATGTCTAAACCAAAGAAAGTACAAAAACATGGTCTATTCTATTTTCTCTTGGCAGCGTGCATTTTCCACAGAAGAGAGATGTAAATGAAGCCCACATGAAAAATGTCTGCGCACTACTTCCCTTTGTGTCACAATCGCAAACTCCATGACTAAAGCTGAGTAGCTGCCTTTTTCTTGCATTCCCTATTGGTTTATGCTAGCTGACGTCACACGTTGGATTCGCCTTGCACAATTCCGGTATCTTCACTCACCGTGATGTCTTCTGACCGATCAGCTTCTACATCTGCCTTACTGTTTTCCTGCACCGCCATTGCGCTCAAGCTCAAGTCATCTGTGTCAAATGTGGTTATTTCATGTAGCTTCACTACCGGTAGAACCTGTTTCTTTCTGTCCTTGTAGACGATGTACAGTATCATTTGTGCAATTCCAAAGATGAACCCTAGGATGTTTGGTGTCTAATCATGCAACAACAACAACAACATTATCAAAGTTGATCAACGTAGTACATGATATATGTTGTATATATTAGTTAGTACAGGTACTACTTAATTTAGAACAAAGTGTTAAATTGGTAATAATGAACTTAATTGGATATTTCACACTTACTGCTACAAAGAAATCCTTTATTAAAAGGCCATAGAAGAACCACATGATGGCGCAGAGTGTGAGAAAGAATGATAGTGAGAATGGCATGAATTCTACACTCTTTGTTTTTATAACTAGCCTCTGCAAATATAAATTTTATTAAACAATTAAAGACACATATATAAAGATTTAACCATCATATGATTTTAATTAAGCAAAATTCTTTAATAATTAAATAAACTATATGATAAAATAGACATGAGTGTAAGAGATATATGGATGTACCATAATGCTGAGAGGGGCAGCAAAAACACTGACAGAAAACACAGCACAGATCCATCCAACAATAGTAACTCGACCCTTCCCATGTGAGAATAGGGATGTGAAAAGTAAGATCAATCCGTATGTTCCTACATTGAATAAGATGAGCACCTTTGTTGTATAGATCTGCATAATTAATATAAAGGGACAAAAAATAAAAATAAAAATAATGAGATATGTGGAAAAAAATCAAGATAAATAAATGAAAAAAATAAAAATAAATGAAGTGGTCGACAACAACCTTGGCCTCCTTTGTTGCATATATCATGAAAATGATGAGATATGTGGCTTCTATGACGCATCCTATGCAGTTGATAGTAATGATCATGATCCCATTTGTCTTCAAGGATCCATAATACAGAAGTAACATGGCACTGAAGAGTGCGACTGCATATGGTATCGATTGAAATCCTTCCGTTGATTTTTTCTTATAAATCCTATAGAAGGTTGGCCTGAAACAAACAATATATAGAAAAACATATAAGTTGGCCTTATTAACTTCATTAGTCCATATGTGTGTGTGTGTGTGAGAGAGAGATAGAGAGAGAGAGAGAGATCATACAATGGTGCCAAGTACACCAAAAATGATACAATGTTGCCTGTGTAGAGAAGGGAAATAAAATAAACCAAGATTTAATTAGATGAGATGATGAAAAAAAAAAAATCTGCAATTATTTGAAGAGTTTTTTAGGAGGAGGAAGTAGAAAATAAATACCTAGAATGCCAAAGGCAAAAGCCATATGAGAAGTAGTTATGATTGCCATTGTTGGTGTGAAATAGCTAGCTCTTTGTTATACCACTGAGGGCAAGCAAAGAGCTACTCGAGGCAAATAGCTTGCTTATGACAAGTCTCTGTAGCATTGCCTACATTTATATACCCATCAAAAGTACTACATGGTGAAGATATATATATATATATATATATGGCTTGCTTTACACATTTGGCTTTGAGCTGTCAGAACTCCACCTCATTTAAGCAAAAGTTGTTATTAAATAATAATTAGATGAGTTAAAATGACATTCTAAGCCCATATCTAGGGTTGTCAAAGCTCATTAATTTCAAGTTCCAAGTTTTTATTTTTGTTTTTTCTAACTTGAAGTTAATACAGAATGCATTTCCATCTAATCTAAACTGCTTGCGTGCAAGCTAATGTCACAGTTTTGAAGTTATAAATGACCCGAATTATTCACAAATAGTGATTAGCTTAGTAATTTTTACATTCATTTATTAAAAGGTCATGCTAATTTGTTAATTGGGACTCGTGAATGGAGTTTAATTTGCAAGAATTGTAAAAATTGGAGTTAATATAGTATATTTTAATTGGATCGAGTTTAATTTACAAGACTTGTAAAAATTTGAGTTAATATATATATTTTAATTGGAGTCTAATCGACCTTGCATTCAAATTCAGCATAAGCTCGAGTTGAGATTTTAGTATGGTTTGTTAAATTAAAGAGTTAACCAATTTGAACTTAAATTTAGTGACTAATTAATCATCCCGGGAAGCCATTCAATATATATATATATATATCGGCTTATAGTGGCGGTGGACTTGAAATAGAAGCCGTTTGAGCCATTCAATGACGTGAAGTAAATGATTGATTGGTAATAAAGACCAAAGAGAGGAATAGACGGCAAGAGTTGTCTTCCCACTTTTGACCCTTTAGAGGATGGAGGGGTTGTAATTAGCACGTGAGATTTGTGGACCCCACCTTCTGTTACGTTACTTTAATCAGATGACTCCACTTGTACACAGTTTTGATCATCCAACAACGCGTCTACTCAGCCAAGCTTTTCCTTTAAATGGGCTTTCTTCATGATTCAACTAAACCCCATTTTGGTCACATTAAAAATACTTGCACCACCACCTCGTTCCAAACTTATTATGTTTGGTTTCATTTTGTCTATTAACTATAACAAATGTAATGAAATGAAACATAATTTTTTCAGTAAATAAAATAAATCATAGTGATCTAAATAAAATTTTATTTTTTATTCAATTTTCAGAATATTGTCAATTAAATTATTTTGAACAATTTTTTTATTTTTATTTTTTCAGATATACAGAGAAACAGAAAGTAATTCTTAAAAAATTCACGAGGCAACTCAATTAAAGTGCGTTTATTTTAGTTTGGCTTCTAAAATTTGGTTTGTGTTTGTTTATTAATAGTTTAATTTGTATTAAATTATAAATTCAATTAACAAATAGAAGCTATTTAGTGGGTAGATTTGATTTGTGTTAATTTGTGAACATGTGCCAAATAATTGTTCTTTTATAATTCAAGTTTTAAATACTTTTACTAATAAAAAACATTATATATACAACACAAACATATAGTAATAAAGTCATGAAAAGTGATAATTAAAAAGTAAAAACTCTCAACCTCACATTTTTGAAGGTCACGACTTCAAATAAAAAAACAAAAGATGATAAATAAAAAAAAATCAATTCATTTCTGTATTTCTATTTAGATTATATGTCGTGTGTCAGTCTGATGGACTAAATCATCATATATATATATATACAGTACATCTTGTGGTTTAACAATTTTGCTCAATCATGAAAAGGTCAAACATGAACTTTTTAATCTCAACATACCATGTGAGCGTACTTTGAACAAATACGTACATATCGTGTGAGTGTGTCCTAAAGACTCATTGCAATCCGTCTTTAAACCTTAATTTTGAAGGTAAAACCTAATGGAGTAAAAAGAGTCAGATAATTTGTGTTTACAAACCAACCACCCGAACAATAACATTTTGACCGTCAAAATTTATCACATTTATTTTGATTATTTGCGTGACACACATATCTTTATAAGGAAACTAGTTCGGTTATCACGTAATGCCATATATATATATGGTTAATCAATTATATTTTATTTTACTTTATTTCTCAATAATAATTGTATTGAACTTCTTAAGGCACCTCATAATTTATTATTATAATTCATTACGAGACATATACAATCTCCTGTGTCATATGCATCGAAAAAATTCCTTCAAATGGCATCCAAGAGGATTTAAACTTTCTCATCAATTAATTATTAACTTGATATGAGGTTTTTTTTTTTTTTTTTTCGGGTACAAGTGTATAACTATTATGACAGCATGCTGGTTTTTGAATCAAAAATATCAAGAGATATGTGAATGCTTGTTGAAGTCTGATTTTTTTGGGTTCATGAATGAGAAAATGTGATTGATACAATCTCAAGAAAAAAGTACCAACGTACAACTGACTTTTATTTTTTCGGTGTTAGATTGGGTTTGTTTTTCTTGAATTAGTTGGAAGGCACATTCAAGGTATGATTGTCTTATTTAGAGGTTCCTTTATTCAATCAGTTATGGTGGTGACCTCCGAGGCTTTAAATCTTTAACCTTTCTTCTGTTATTCGGTTCTGATTTTTTTTAGCCGATTGGCTGCAATGGGAGAAAAATACCCGAACTATCGAAATTTGAGCTTTCAATTTATGATACAACGAACTTGGTATATATTTTTATGTATTTCACATAACATTAAATATTATGTTTGGGAGTATCGAGTCCGTACTTTGAATTTAAGATTGAAGAAAATTTAGTTTAAAATTTTAATTAAATTTTTTTTTCCAATTTAAATCCAAGTTATCAATTTGGAACTCCCAAATACAACATAAATCTCTTTTCATCTTCGTAAACAATTTATAAAGTAGTCATTTTTTTGACAATACTAATTCTTAATTTTAAGATTTGCTTTTCATCTATTGCTTAGAATTTGTAGCAAAAATGAAATGTACTACTCGTATTATTTATAGAAATTAAAAGGTAACCATACTGATAATTCTGTTGTAATTTCCATTTTTGGTTAATTAGGTTGCAGTTAATTGTGTCAGTCTGATTCCCTTTTTTTTTTTTTTTTTTTTTTTTTTTTCTTTTCTCTTTTGTTCGAAAGTTGGTCTGATTCATTTCTACTTCTCTTTTTCCATTTTTTTTTTTTTTTTTTGGGGTCTTGTGATGGGTAGTGGAAGAGTGTCATTTCCTCCGATGACGCGAATTTTCAAATTCAAAATGATGATATAAATCATTTTAAATTTTTACTTCATAAATGAAATCTATGTACAATTGGAAAAAAGATTGGAATTAGTGGTAGGGGTGGCAATTTGTGTTCGTGGGTTATAATTGTGTCGTGTTGATGTAAGGATATTTTATTAAACAGGTAAACTTAAACTCGACCCATTTAATAATCGTGTCAATAACTTTCAACACTGACCCGGCCTGGTTATTAAACGGATTAATAAGTTAACCTGTTTAATGACTTGTTTAGGCTGTTTATCCAAACGAGACTTTTAATATTTAATCAAATAATAAATACCATAAAAAATTTGTTACAATTAACCCAAATATTCAAAATAAGAAAAAAAAATTATAAGGCTTAGTAAAGGTTTATGTGGAAATGATTTAACTGTTCATAATAATTAAGTTTAAATAGATAACATATTACATAGGTCATATTAATGATTATAACATATTTAGTTGAACGGATCATAAACGGGGTGAACCCCTTAATTTTAATCCGACACGATTAAGTAAGCGGATTAATCGTGTCAAACTATTTATAATCCGAACACATTTAAAAACAACTCAAACATGTTTTTCTCGTGTCGTATCATAATTTGTCATTCCTAATTAGTGGTAAAGTTCATGAGGAGTGTATTTTGGATCACAATTCCCCTAATCAAGCCCAATATCACAAAATTCATTTAAGGACGGGCCTTTGCTATTGAACTATGTTGGCTTGGCCCGACTTAATTCCACTTTTTTTTTTTTTTTTTGTACAAGCCTGTGTGAGTCAGATAATTATTCCCTTGTTTACACGACAATATTCAAATTGTATACCAAATAAATTCAAAGAATTGTATTAATTCCATATTAAAAAAAGAATTGTATTAATTAGGAATGGATGTGTCATGAAACGTGGTATTGTTCAATTTGTGCGTACCCGCAGAGTTAGCTAGTGGAGAAATTAATAATTTCTCTAGCGACTGACTTGTTTTGACGCATCACTCATCAGACTTTCCCATGAGCTTACGCAACAAATTGTACACTTCATCCTTCCACATATATTGGAGACACTGGAGCAGCACATATATATATATATATATATATATATATAGCTAGCTTCTTAAAAAATAATACAGTAATAATATTGGCATGCATTAAATAGGTACTTCAATGGTCTTCAATGCGTCCCCAACCTCCCCCTCCCTCAGCCACCCACTCATCTTACATTTTTACTACTACTCAATAAAAGTAGATGGGTGAGTGGTTACTGCAAATATATTTATTTTTCACTGACTTTAGTACTAGTTATAAATATATATATATATATAAGCTCGATCCATCTGTTCTCATGAAAAGTAACTCTCTCTCTTAGACACACTCATACACACAAAAACACACATACAATATTTGAATGGAGAGCCAATATAAGGCAAACATGGATGGAGTAGTTATGAGGAGTACTACAGATGTGAAGATGGAGGTGATGAAGCCTAACAAAATGAGGTATTATGGAATGGGACTACGCATCGTAGGTCTGGTCTTCACCTTGGTAGCTGCAGTAGTGGGTGGTGTGAATAAGGAGACAAAGATGATGACTCTTTCCATCTTCCAAACCTTGCCTTCCATCCATGTCCCCGTAACCGCCAAGTGGTTCTATATGTCTTCTTCCGTGTAAGTCACTTTCTTTTCATGTCTTCCATCTCCTATTTTGTCTATATATTAAACACTCTGGATCCTCTTGAGACTAGACTCGAGGGTGCGTACTTTGTCAAGGGTGAAGATTGCATCATCGTTCGATGATCCAAATTTTATTCTTGGTGAAATACGATATCCTTTCCATTAGTATTAATTGATTACTCATGTATTAATTAGTATGTATATATGTTAATTCCTGAAGTACTTTTGATTTGGAACGTGATGACCATCTTGCTAAAAAAATTTGAAGCTATGACTCCAAAATACTATATATTCTCAATAAAACTATATATAATTTTATCAATGGACTAGTAACCTAGCGGTGCCTCTACATGGAAGTCAGGGTTCGAATCTCGGTGGAAACATATGTGTATGAGTAATAGTTACCAACCCAAAAAAAAAAAAAAAAACTATAAATTTTTATACAAAAATTCAAGAAAAGACGCACACACTCACAATACTGTTTTTCAACATAACTTGAACATCCCTTCCCTTTGAGAAGAGAGCTAGTGGAGGATTTGTTTGATATGCGTTTCGTTTTTGGTCGAATACTGTAGCAGTACTTTTCGAAAAAATAAAAAATATTTTGTTTTATACATTGCTGAAACGTTTCGTGAATAGTGCCCAAGAATCAAAACACCAGTTTAATATTTTTACATGTTTTAGTATTGTAATAACGGGTACTATAGTAATGAACAGTAAACAAAGAAATTAAAAAGAAAGGTAAACTTTTAAATAACATTTTTAAATTAACCATTATATTTTTCAAACCTGCATCATCTTTTTATCAAACATATTTTCATATTTTTGTTTCAAAAACATCTTGCAACAAATAAAAAGTATTTTCCATGGAAAAGGGAAGTTATACATATATTAGCACAATCATTCATCAGATTTTCATTAACATGTGTTGCTTGTATTCCTTAATCCATCTTCCTCTGTGGGAACAATTAAATAAAGGGTTAAAGGCTACAAATATAAGTAATAAATTAATAAATGCCCCAGCTACCAAGCTTGAAATTCAACTTGCGGAGAGAAGACCGTTTATTGGTTATTTATTAATTCCTTTCAAATTTAGAGACATTTATTACATATGCAAGTCAAGTCTTCCTATTTTTGTGGGAAGTCAATTCCAAGTCTTTGTCCTTCTCATTCATTATCCAACATCCCAATTATCTGGCCCACCGGCTTTTAAGAACATGCCATTGGGCTGGACCACTTCAGGCGGGTACCCAATGATTCTAGCCTTTTAGGTAGGGGTAGGGGTAGGGGTAGGGGTAGCAATTCGTGTTTGCGTATCGTAGTCGTATTGTGTTAATTTAAAGTTATTATATTAAATAGCTCAATCCGAATATGATCCATTTAATAATATTAACCCGACCTGTTTATTAAACAGGTTACACATGTAACTGACCTATTTACAAAAAAATAAAAAAAATATTATTATTTAAATTATTAACAATACTCAATAAAATAATAAATACTAAAAAATATATAAATTTTAATCAACCAAATTACTAAATAATTTATAATTTACAGAAGATTAAATTATAAGACACAAGTTTATATAATAATTTTATTTAAATATAAATTTATTTATGACATATATAGTTAAACGTGTATAAACAGGTTACACACGTTGAACCCCTCAACCCAAATACGACACAATTAATTAAATAGGTTAATCGTGTCGACCGGTTTATAATCCGACCCCGTTTAAGGTCAATCCAAACCCATTTAATTCGTGTCATATTCGAGTCGTGTTGGCGGATTGTGTCAACTTTTGCCACCCCTAGGTAGGGGTGGCAAATGGGCAGATTGGGCCGGGTTTCAGTTGTGTTGAAAATGGGTGAGTCAAATATGGGTTAAAATTCATATTCAACTCGTTCAGAACGGGGTTAAAATGGACAGGTCAAAATATATAGGGTCAACCCGTTATGACACGTAGACCTATTAATTATTATTTTTTAACTACTTTTTTAATTATTATTTTAAATTATTTGTTGTAAGTATAATTTTTTTTAACTTTTTAAATTTTTTTAATTATTTTAAATTTTTATAATTTTTTTATTTTTATTTTATTTTGAAATTTTTTTTGGGGAAGGTTTTAAAATTTTATTTAATAACAAATAAAAAACACAATCTCAAACTCATCAATATTTATCGTTTTAGAGAGAGAGAAGTGAAGGAGAGAGAAGAAATATTTAGAGAGAGAAACTTAGAGAGAGATGATTGATAAGAAACAAATTTAGAGAGAGAAGATCGTGAGTGCAAGAATTTTAGAGAGAGAGAAATGAGTTGAGTGCAATGTAGAATAAATGTTTGTTGTGTATCTATTATGTGATGGGTGAAATATGGGTATCGATATTCAACTCATCTTGACCCTCAAATTAAGTGTTTAAAAATTGTTCAACCCATTTTTTATCCGTCTTAAATATAGTTCACCCAAAACCATTAAAAAACGGACGAATATGAACGAATTGACGAGGTGTAACCCATTTTGCCACCCTTACTTCTAGGTTAGTTTTTCGCAAACATTGGCGCCAAATAAAATTCAACCAACTTTGATATTTATGTGAATAAAAATTATAATCTATAACATTTATATATATATATAAAATAGGTTCATCATCTAAAATGATAATACTTTTTCTTAATTTGTTACAAAGTTAAGAAAGATTTGTCGGACTCTTGGTCTCTGCCTCAGGTACTTGGTGGTATCAAATGCCATAGCAAGTTCATATGCAGCGGTGTCTTTGGCATACTCTGTGACGAGAGATGGAAGCAACAAAAATGGCTCTGTATTGCCACTCCTTCTCCTAGACCTAATCATGGTGGCAATGCTTTTCTCGGCCAACGGTGCAGCACTTGCCGTCGGAGAAATTGGCCTCCACGGAAACTCACACGCCCATTGGAACAAAGTGTGCAATGTGGTCAAGAATTTCTGCGTCCAGTCTGGGGCTTCCATTGTCATGTCTATGCTTGGCTCCTTCGCCTTTCTTTGGCTGGTCGTGTTGGCTTCTTTAAATCTCCACAAAAGATGTGGGCAGTTTGGTAATTAGATCCCAAAAGTACTACTACGTATATATATATTTTGGCCTGCTTTTCAAATTACTCTTTTATGTACCTGAAACTAGCTGGGAAAGTTTGTAACCATGGTACTCTACCACTACTTAGGTGATAAACTTAATGTGAAATCATGTCCAGGTTTGTACTTCAGGAAATTCCTAATCATGCTTCTACACTACGCATCATGGGTGTGTATAATTCTAAAATAAATTTAATTAATTCAATAATTAATAAACACAAGTACATTATACACCCATAAGATTGAACAGACCAACTTGTGGCTGTGGTGGGTGCACCAATTTTGGAGGTAGAACTTATGAGACGCCGGAGGAAATCAATAAAAAATTGATGCACAAAGATCTCGTCAGGGATTTGAAGATAACAGGATGTACTTAATTTTATCTCGGTAAAAAAAAAATATATTTTCGATTTTAAACCGGTAATTTATAGGTAAAAATAACGCAAATGTTGATTTGGGCCAAATCACCGAGGTGGAAAAGACTATTATTCCAAGGTTTTAAACAGGTGGCATAGCAACCGCTTCTGAATGGAACTAAAAAATTAATAAATAAACAAAGGATCATTAACAGGTACTAGCTCTGCGAGTACAAGGGAGAAAAAAATAGATACGGTTTTAATTTTAAAGTATATTTTACAAAATATAAATTATTCATACCTTTTTATTTGTCCATACTAGATTACATAAAGGATCGTATTCATTATTTAACTAAAACTTAAAAGAAATTAAAAAAAATTAGATTACATAACAGTTTTTGATTTCTTTTTCTTTTTCATCTTAATAGGAAACTCACATTTGCTTGAACATGAAATCCTAACATTTTAGTTTGGAAGATGATGAAATACTGCTAATGCAGTATCCTTTGATAGTTTCTAGTGATTTGAAACTTAAATAAATATGTTCTTTCTACAGGATAAGTTAACGATTCTTAAAAAAAATCCACTTCTACGTAATTTAGTGAAAAAACAGATTTTTTTGAAACTTAAATATATATTTTTTTCCAGAGGTTATTGACTTATTAAAGGTTTTCTTTTATCCCTCGTTTTTGGTAGTCTACAAAAAAAATGATTTTGGATGCAAATCATGCAACTTGTGTGGGGCCAATTGGGCATGGTTTTTTTCATGGACTTAGCAATTACTCCGTATTTTTATAATTAAAATTGAGTGAATTGAAAAAAACTTATCCTTATATATAATATTCAAATTATGACCACATTTTTTTTCTCTAGATTTTTATTATTATCTTTATACATATACTTTTTTTAAAAATATATTATCTATAATATTCGAATTATTATCATCTTTTTCTTTTTAAAATTTATTTTCAACTTCTTTTGTTTAAATTTTAATTTATTGCATGTTAACATTTTAGATAATTAACTTTTTTAGAATTTCTTTTTTAATTTTTAAAAAATTTGCATTAAGTTTTTAAATTTTTTTTTGTGCTTAGGAGTATTCTTATAGAAAGGGTTGCAAACTCTAATCTAAAAATTTTAGGCTATTGGGTATTTAGAGTTGAAAGGTTTGGGTAGTAGTAGTATCTCGAACCCGTCCACCCTTCCGAAGCCCTATTGCTACCCACCATCTGGGCCTACCGTCTTTATGGGCCCACATCCTCCCATATATATATATATATATATATATTCCCGTTTCACAAATGACCTTTTTTGTTGTATACAAATACAGCCTGCTTCGTGTTGGGTTGGGTTTCTGGTTTACATTGCCATTTCCTGTGATGCCCTAAAGAAAGACAGAAATAATAACAACGGCAACTAATGGAAGAAGAGGACACCACCACTGTAATTCCACAAAGACAGCAAGATTTCGGAAAGATGCAATACGGGTAAATTATACACACTCTCTCTATATATCGCGCACACAACTCTATTGTTCTATATATATATCTTGTTTCGTGTTTAATCTCTGGTTTTGATTGTTAATTAGATGTGAACATTACCGGAGACGATGCAAACTTCGAGCCCCATGCTGTGATCAGATATTTTCCTGCCGTCACTGTCACAACGAGGCCACCGTACTCTCTCTTTCCTTCTCTCTACATATATAATTACATAAATATATAGTCCTATGATTTATTTGAAATTGACTCTGGCAATTTTATTGAATATGGTGTTCTGTAATTTTTCTTTTTTTCTTTTTTTAAATTAGAGTGCTCTGAGCAACGTGAAGGATCGTCATGAACTCGTTAGACACGAAATTAAGCAAGTACGTCTAATGGTCTTTTTAATATTTCTCTTTGTTATGTAACTTGTATATTGTGTTCTAAATCTTTATTTTGGGTTTGTTTTTGTTTCGTGGTTAATTTCTCCAGGTTATTTGTTCAGTTTGTGATACCGAACAGCAGGTTTAACTTTCTGAAAATCTCGGATTACTCTTGTTAATTCATATCTACTTGTTTTGATTTTATTTTAACATCTCAAAATTGGTTTAATGTGAAATTTTCCTTTATTTTTTTGGCCAGGTCGCCCAGATTTGTTCAAAATGCAACGTCAAGATGGGAGAATATTTTTGTGTAATTTGCAAATTCTATGATGATGATGTAATTCAACTACTTTCAATTCTTTAGTTATTAACTTATTGATATGAACTGGATTTCATTAGAGTTTGTTTATTTATTTATTTTGTTTATACATATTACTTGATCTCGCTGCAGACTGACAAGAAGCATTTTCATTGTGACGAATGTGGCATTTGTAGGTTTGTAAGCTAGATGATACGACTATTCTATATCTCTTTCATATTTTACAAAGTTATCTTCTAGGATTTTTTTTTTCCCCAATTGAATTATATATCTATATGAATCATTATTTTGCAGAGTAGGTGGGCGTGAGAACTTCTTTCACTGCCAGAAGTGTGGTAAGCGGTCCTATTCTTTAGTGTCTTTGATCAGTGGTATATAAATTATTAATGTTGATGGGTTTGTTTTTGTTTTTAATACCCTGTGTCTCTGTGTTGTGATATCTAAAATAATATTGTGGGTTTCTTGGTTTCCCAAGTAAAACTATTGGAAGAGAAATGTCATTTCCTTTAATTTAGCATCTCTGGAATTTACTGCTCTGGTGGGTTACAAAATGCATTCCGTGTTAATTATTTAATAAAGTAACTGTGGCTACTAGCCTTCCTTTTGAACCACACACGTATGCTCGCGCGCACACAAAAAAGAAAAGAAAGAAAGAGAGAGAGAGAGAGAGTTTATGAAATGTAATGGCCTTTTACTGCCCCCTTCTCTTCTCTTTCTCATCTTCTTGTGTTTCCTGTGGTTATCTTCTCTTGGTTTATTTTTTTTTTTCTATGTTTTATTACTTGTACTCCATTATCTAACCCAATTTACTTTATACTTAACTTTATATGTTCCATTAGCAGTGGTTTCTAATGTGCGATGTATTAAATTATGATTTATTATTATTATTTTAAGGAGATAGAGGCAAAATCAGGTTGGATTGGCATACAATTTGACATTAAGAAGGCTAACCATAAATGTGAATGGACATTGGAAGATCTAATTCAAACTGTGTCATTGGTCATTGGTGAACTCTATAGAACTTTTAAGGAAGAATGCATCAAGTGCAAGAAGGAGATTGTAATGATGAGAATAGGAAGATGAAATTTTCTACCTGATATGTCTATTGAAACCATCAGGATACATGGTCGAATTTGATGAAGTTGATTAAACCCGTAAGAGAGTTGAATCAGAATGTTGACATCCAAGTATATGTGCTCATATTGTGTAGGAGCACCAAACATTAACCTTTTCTTCTATAAAATTAGTTTGGAGCATTGTCAATATATTGCGAGTTTTTAATGTCAAGAGTACTAATATTTTAGAAGCCTCTTTCCTTTGAGGTGCTCTACTGACTGATAATGATGTTGATGCTTATCTTGCCACATTCCATTTCTTTTTACTTGATTGATTTCCTCTCTCTCTGTGGTGGGTGGATGTGTGTGTTTGGTGGGGAGGAGAAGGATGGCTTTATGATTCCATTCAGCTATATAAATTTAGTTCAATAGTTGATTCTTATTGTTAAGTTATTTTGTTGTGTCTCGAAGTCCAATTATATTGTCTGTTGATAATTCACTACTGATACTCATCACATGTTGGAAGTATTTTTCTTTTCTTTGTTTCTTATTTTATTTTATTTTATTTTGTATTATCATTTTTAACTATTACAATTATTGATAATTATACAATTGTTCATTGAAAAGTTTTTTGGAAATACAAATGCCTTTTTTATTGGCTTTTCCAATCTTCTCATGCTGTTAGGATGCATATGTCCTTTGATATTGCTATCCCCCATTTTAATGTTTTTGTGAGAGCTCAGGATCCTGCTATTCGGTGGGTCTACGTGGAAATCACTCATGCGTGGAGAACTCTATGAAGAATCAGTGCCCTATTTGTTATGAGGTTTGCATCTAGACTGTTTTATTGTTGTTTGTATTTTCAACTGTGTGGCATAATCTAACAGCAAACAATCTTATGCTGTGCTGGCAGTATCTTTTTGACTCGGTCAAAGGCACAACAATTATGAAGTGTGGACACACAATGCATATGGAATGCAATGTTGAGATGATGAAACAAAATCAGTAAAAACCAATTTACCTTAATTTTCTTCTCTAATTGCCTCATTTTTAGCATGTTGAACTGTTGCATATAATTTGTTAATTGCATGGATTCATCATCCAGGTATCGTTGTCCCATCTGCTCCAAGACAGTGTTTGACATGTCTAGAACATGGGAAAGATTAAATGAGGAGGTACGGAGTTTGTGTTGTGTATTTTTTACCTCCCCCCTTAGATATGAAAGTTTTCTTTCTCAAACAGAACATGAATGTGGTATTCTGTTTCCAATTTTGCATGCTTTTTGATGGATTTATATTGTGCTCTAGGCCTCATAAGGCTCATTCATATTCCTTTTTATTTTTTATTTTGTGTTTATGGATCTGAATACCTTAACTTTGGTGGCGAATTGTCCGTACTATCTTCATCCTTTGTATAACTTTTTTCTGTCGGATCTTGTTTATTGGCTTGATTTAGAATCAGGGTAGTGTGGCCCCATGTGATTGTGCTAACAGCTTTTCTCAGAATCGCTTGTTCTTTTCTACAAGCTTTGTTAAATATCATTATCATAGTGGATGCACCATGATGCTTCACTTCAGTATTGTGCATTTTTTATTGTTGTTGATAATTGTGGACAAGTTGGAATATGTAGGTTAGAAGGTTTGGCATCAGTTCAAAGGGTTGCAAAAGAAAAATTCAAGTGTGCAGAAACCGTCTTCTTTTAACTTTTGGAATTTGAAAGCAAAGTGAAAAATGTAGATTCTAGATTGATATTTTATTGATAAAGTTAGGTGAAAGAAAATATGGAGGTAGTAGTAAGCACGCAGTAGTATGCCCACATAATAGATTTTTATGATTGCCTAAGCACGTGGAAAGCTTTAAGCTCATATTTTGTCTGGAGGCTTTTTTTTTTTTTTTTTGTTTCCAGTATCTATTACCATCAACTTCTACATGCTGATTCAGTAGGTCCTATAGCTTTTAATGGTATATGTTTATTAATTTTGCTGGCTTTTTGGTGATTTTGCTTGTATCAGATATGTGGAAAATTTGAGCTTATATTTTGTTTGGATACTATTTCTTGTTTCCAGTTTGCTTTTGTTTTCTAGATGTTGATTTAATAGGTTTTTTTTTTTTTTTTTTGAAATCGGGTACATCCGTCTCATTTATCTATATGTAGTTCTTATGTATTTGAGAATTTTGAATGCTATTCTTGGGTAGGCAGTAATTATATGCACTTTTGCACTTTTTGCTTAAGCTGTTCCCGACAGATCATTAGCTGAATTTTTTGGTTGCCTAATATTCTTCTGTTCATTTTGTACTCTCTTATAAAAGTTTGGTTTACGCTCAAGATGAAGTCATCTTTATGACTATATAATATCTGAAAGATTCCCGCATCTTCTACTTGCTAAGTTTGCAGTCTTTATATGGCAAAATTTATTAAATTATAAAAGTGAGCAGGAATTTGACCTTAAAAATGCTAGCTAATGGGCAGTGGATTGGAAAATGATCTTTAATTTTGCTGAGTTTGAAGAACATATTTCTAGCCGGATTGATTCCTCTACTAAATATTAGGTGGTCAGCAGTACAAAATCGTATTTTGAGCTGCTGTCTATGCAAAGCAACACTAAACAGAAATTGGTATTCCACTTTTCCTTTTAAAAATTTATTTTTTATTAATGCAAGTAGGTATATTCCAAGTCTAGTTGAAAATGAGTTCTCTACAGACCTTGTTGAACATTGACAGGAGGAAAACTGACTGAGAACAAACTTGGATGAAAAGGAAAGTGACAGGCAACAGCCTTATCCCTCCCCCTGATTAGCACACTGAGAATAAATTGGCATCCTAGACTGCTAGACTTTTGACATCCCTTATCTTGGATTTTTTCTATCAAAGATGTGCTCCAGTTTTTCCTATCCGTGTGTATGTATGTGTTTGTGTCCAGACAATTAACTCACACACCCAACACAAACGCACATACCCATTTGCCCCCTATTGGGACTTGAACCCTTCAAACCTTCCACTTTGGGAGTTAAGAAGACCAGTGGGTTTGTGGTATTTGGTTGAGAGTGTTTCTCTCATTCTCCCCACATTTCTGCTCTGTTTTACATGAAAAAAATAGGTTTCTTCAAGGTTATTACTTTTTTTTTAATTATTATTATTATTTTTTATACCTTTACATTATATTTTGTTTGCATTTTCCAACACAATCAAACAAGAAAAATGAAGTTTCCTATATTTTTATTTTCCTTCCATTCTCCTTTTTGAGATCCATTTGGAACTCAAAGTCCATATATGGTTGCTTCATTCTTGTGGCCATTGAACTTGTGAACCAATATCAATTTTGTGAATGTTTGCCCCTCAAAAACTACGATATGACCTTGTGCTTCAATATGAAGATGATGTTATATTATACACGTCAAAATATGAAATTTGTAGCGGACAGAAGAAAATGTAATAGGAGTACCAAGAGGTATTATTGTAGATTTTGACTTTAAGGTTTTTAATTTTACCCTTCTCTTTTTAGATTCCAGGACATGTTGAATTGACTTATATATTGAATGTGTATGTATATTTGCAAACAACCTGAAATAGTCCTCTAATGTCTCCTTAATTATGTATATATATAATTATGTTCTGGTCAAATAAGAAATAACCAGGTCTCAAATTTGTCTGAACAACAGATTTTTCTAATTTAAGGATTTCAAGTTGGTGCTTTAAAATCTTTTCATTTTAGATATCTTGGACACCTTAAAATTCTTCATACAAACACACCCTAATGATAGCACAAAACCTTGTTTTTTGTAGACTACTTGTCAAAATTGAAATGCCTGCCACCTAACAAACTTCTCCCTCTGCTTATTCTGTCTATAAGGCCATTACTATGTGTTGTATCTATTAATCTAGGTTCCTAGAAGGGAAGGGGCAGATTGGGGGAAGGAACAGACTTGGTTAGACTCAAACTTGGAGTATTATTTGTACAAAATGGCTGCCCTCATATTTAAGTTCGGATTATTATCCTTGAAGCACAAGGCTTTTACCATCACGTCAAGCAATACCCTTAAAAAAGAAAGCCTGGAAAAATATGCTCCTTTACAGGGATTTGAAACCAGATTCCAAACTTTTCTTCCATCAAGGAAATGAGGAATTACTAGTGCTACATTGGATTTTAGTTATCTTGTGTGTATCTTTTAATTATTTTATATGAGATTCTGGTATTCTCCATTAATGGTGATGTTTCTTGTTGATAGATTGAAGCCACTGCCATGCCCCAAGAGTACCAGTATGAGGTAAATATTCTTTTCTATATGTTGCTTCTTTGGTTGGTTTTCTGTATTGGTTTAGTTGATCATCCAGTGTCATCTCCTAGCATCCTTTCACTACTTATGACACAAGGCTTCTGTAGGTGTAATTTTATGGAAGAATTTTTAATTGTAGCCATTAGAAATATCTTCTGGCATATTTTTGCAGTTATGAGAGTCAAATTGAACATTAAAAAAAAAAAAAAAAAAAAAAAAAACAAACAAACAAACATTGTATTTTACTAGTCTTACCCTCTGAAAAGAGGGTGAAAAAGAGGGCAGGTGATACTTGTTCCATCAACCGATAGTACAGTAGTGTGATCTGCGAGTAAATTGCTTCTAAATGCATCCTGATGTTAATAGCATTGGTTCTGAATTACAGCAAGCAAATTGCACAACCAAATAACTAGTGAATTGCAAACATTACCTTTACAGGTTCCGATTCTTTGCAACGATTGCAACAATACCAGTAAAGCGTTGTTTCACATTTTTGGGCACAAGTGTTGTCACTGCAAATCATACAACACCCGTGTGATTGCAACAAGGGACCATCAGCAACAACCTTAATTCAGTTTTTTACAATGCGCATTATATTCTCCTTAATTAGCTGTTGTACCTTTTTTGTCCCAGTAACATTCATTTTTTAGCTGATTTTCTGCTGAATTGTGTAACCTGAATAGTTTATTGTTGTTGCGACTTGCATTACGATATGAATGATTTTAGAAATCTTGCTTAGGACACTGTTGGGATTGCCTCCCTTAAATGCACAATAAATACTAATGAACACGTTTTTAGCAAATGAAAACATCATTAGTCATGCCACGTCCAAGTCAATAGACACCATTAGGAAGGGTCTCTACACTGGGTCGTATGTATTCGAGAGACTTGCAAAGTTGATTTCTTATTGGATCTTAGTATTAGTTAGCTTTGTTGGGCGCTAGAAAGTACACGTATATCACACCACCCCCACCATCGTCGACCGCCAATCGCCCCCACCATCTGTGTGTGTGTGTGTGTGTGTCTCTGTACGCACGCATACGCACATATATCACCACCACTACGTTGCCGCATCGATCATCACAGCTCCAACACCACCACCAACCACAACCCACCACTGACCCAACCTCATCTTCACCTCCATCCCCACCGTCACTACCACTAATCAGACCTACTCACAAACCCTAATTTCAAAGACAAATCCAACCCACAAACTTCGCTACATGATCACTTCAACAATCATCATGATGTCGACCCACACTACACCATATCTTGATAGAAAGGTACTACACCATATCTTGATAGAAAGGTGATAGCAGCAACAATTCATATGCCAAAATTTCTGGTTTTATTTATTTATTAGGGATGGCAAAAAAATATATCTAAATCCGGCCATATACTTGTCGTTTCTATAAATATATTTTTTCATTATAGAATTCTATCACTATAAGCTATCTAAAATATACAAACTAGATTATTTTAAAGGTTCTTTGAGTAGTTGATTACTCAAACTTCTTTACCAAGGGTAGTATTATTATTATTTTTTTATACATTTCTTTGAATTTATAAATTTTATTTTTATTTGATAAATATATCTATCTCTACCCAGAATTCTTATCTTTTTAAAAGTCTAACAAATAATTTTTCTCTAATCATTAACGTTATTTCCGGAAAAAAAAATAAAAATAAAAAAATAAAACAACAACAACAACAACAACAACGTTATCTAATATAAATAGATTATTGGAAATGATATTATTGACTACTTTGATACCCCACTTAAAACCAACCGAAATAAAAATATAAAGTGTTATTATAAAATTTCAACTTAAATAAGCATCATTATTACACATGTTTGTTTTCATAAAATACGTCAATTTCTCTTTTTTGATCTTTTCAATATCATCTTCTTTTTCGTTTTCACAACCACTTTCATGGTACTCAAATATAAGAATTTGATTGGTACAAAATCTAGAACAAAAACTGCAATATTTTTCAATGCTTTGCAATTTTTCTTTAAATTCCTCTCTTTGTTTTTATTTATGGAGTCACATAGATAATTAATTTTAATTATTATAGCAATGAACAAATACCTATCTAATTATATAATTTATATATAGGAGATGCAATCTTAACCTTAGTTAGAGAGATGCAATGTGATATATATATATGGGTGAATTGCAAAAAATCCCCCTTTACCATTACACAATCGCGAAAAACTCCCCTTATGAATGTTTTTGGCAAAAAATTTCCATCAACTATCCCAAGAGATATTTTTAACTGATATCTATTTTAAGTGGTTGTCTGAGGGAATTTTTTTGACAAAATTACCCCTTAACAGATTATTCTTCAGACAATTTAGTTTGGGATATTTTGTGTTTTTGAAGTAAGAATTTTTTTTTTTTACAAAAATCAGATTAATTGCCAATTTTAGTCCACTTATCTCGGAGTAGCATAATTCAATTAAGGAAAAGAAATAAATTGGACTGCAAATTATTAATTATTTTCCTTAAAATAATCAAGTGTTATAATGGCTTCTAAAGATCAAGTACACTAAAGTAGTTCTTGAATTGCTTAATTTTTTCATCTTCTATTCTAACATCATGGTGGATTTTCTCTCTCCGTTTATTTTATTAATTATACATAGCTTAAATATGATTTTATTGGCTTTCCATTTTTTTTTATTTTTTGGGAAATTTTTCTTTGCTGCTTCACATACTTTGCTTGATGGAGAGAGAGAGAAAAGAGAGAAAATAAATAAATAAATTGTTTGAAGAATAATCTATTAAGGGGTAATTTTGTCCCAAAAATTCCTTCAAATAATCACTTAAACAGATATAAGTTAAAAACACCCATTTGGGATACTTGAGGGGTATTTTTTGCCAAAAATATTTATAAGGAGATTTTTCGCAACTAGTTAATAGTCGAGGGGGAATTTTTGCAATTCGCCCTAATTAATAAAATAAACGAGGAGAGAAAATTCACCATAGTGTTGGAATAGAAGATGAAAAAATTAAGCAACTCAAGAACTCTTTCAGTGGAGATCTTTAGAAGTCATTATAACACTTAATTATTTTAAGAAAAATAATTAATAATTTGTTATGTTTCCTTCGTTCAACTCCTTTCTTTTTCTTAATTGAATTATGCTACTACAAGGTAAGTGGACTAAAATTGACAATTAAAAAGTAACATAAATTATTTTTTTTTCAAATCTGATTTTTGTTAAAAAAAAATTCTTACTTCGAGAACACGAAATATCCCAAAATAACTTTTTGATACGAAATTGTTGTAATTGATGTAGTTAAGTTAAAAACCTAGAAATATGAAGTTTTTAGTGAAAGGACATCGTTGCCCTCTATTTAATTCACAAGAATCTAATCATAAAGGACATTTAAGTCATTTAGTTTGAGAGAAATGCATTTATTATCTCATCATATATTGTTTTGATTCTACCACCTACTACTTGAAAATTGTTTTGATTCCACCACTTATTACTCCAAAATTACATATCGTGTGGATGAAGTATTGGAGGTAATTTATGGGAAGTTTACTCACTATTATGTTTATTTATTAAGATGGTAAGAAATCAAAGGAAACATAACACTTTTTACATGCAAATGATTTGTTCAATTATATGGATGAAATCGTGACAAAAAAAAAAGGAACCAATAATAAAGTAGATCAATAGAAATATGTCATAGATTATGAATATAGCCGAGTATTCTTGAGGCCTTAACTATTATTTACATGTGCTATATCATGTTTTCCAAGCAGTGTTGAAAGATAAATTTTCAACAATTGGATTTCTCGATTTGTTATTAACTATGTGTTTGAGGGAATGAGAAGGCTTGCTTGACGCGGAGAGAGAAGGAAAAAAAAAAATAAATTGTCTGAAGAATGCTCTGTTAAGGGGTAATTTCGTCCAAAAAATTCCCTCATACAACTACTTAAACGGACATAAGTTAAAAACATCCCTTGGGATCACTGGGTAATAGTAAAGGAGGATTTATTGAATTCGCCTTATAAATTATTGTTTTACATATATAATTGATATTATAAGTATGTGTTTGTTGTCAAAAAATATTTTTTGAAAGTTATTTAATGCCATAAATTTACATGATATATGATTGTGTATTGTTTTTAATTATGAAAATTATGACCTGAAATGAATGTATTTTAATTGATTAAAAGGCTAGTTACACTCAATTATGAGAAGTAGTGATATTTCATACATATACTACTATATTACATTATGGTACTAAATTTGAGGTCCTTCTAAATTGAAGGCCTAGGCGACTACCTTGGTCGCCTTACCCTATAACTAACCCTGATCACGATTAAAAGAGCACAATATTTTCTTGGGCTAATTTCTGAAAACCCCCCTCTTGTTTATCGAAACTATCTACTAATCCCCTCGAGTATTAAAAAACCCCCTAATATAACAGAAACTATAAAATTGCCACCATTTCGTTATAGAACTGTTAAGTTACTGTGAAATGTCAAGAATAACCTTAATATTATTTTAAAATGAAAATGTGAATTTTGAATTGGCAAATATACCCCCGTATGAAACAATGTAGTATTGTGTTGTTTATGCCTCTTTGTGAAACGACGTCGTGTACGGGTTGGGTTGTATGCCCTAAATCGATTTTTATGCCCTAAATTGATTTTTATGCCTCCATCTATGTTCTGTATTTGTGTGCGCGCTCTGAGTGTTGAAGAAAGCAAGTGTAAGTCTTGATGAAAGCGACTGTTGATGAAAGCAAGTGTTGATGAAATCGAGTGTCTGAGTGTTGATAAAATCGAGTGCTTGAGTGTTAATGAAATCCAGTGTCTGAGTGTTGATAAAAGCCAGTGTCGAGTGTTTATGAAAGCGAGTGTTGTATGTGTCTTTTTTCTGTAATCGCTCAGTGGTCGAAGATTTTGGTGGATTCCAACTGGTTCGTATCACTTTTGTTCGACACAATGGTGCTAGGTATGGACAAACTTTTACATATTGTCGTTGCTTTGTAGTTAGGGTTTTATATTGTTTTCTTTTCAATGTAGGTCCTTAATGTTTGGTAGGTAAAATTCAATGTTTGGTGGACAAACTTTTACCAATGTCGTTGCCTTGTCGTTGCTTTATAATAAAAATTAGGGTTTGTTTATAGGGCTGTGGTCCCAGTGATAAAAAATTAGGGTTTGTTTATTATTCAAACAATTTTTTCATAATTTAAGGTTTAGGGATTTATTGTTAAAATTAATGGTAAATACTATATTTTTTTGGGAGGAATTCTTAGGGTTTTATAATCTTTCATTTTAAATGTGGGTCCTTATTGTTGAGTGGGAGTATTGATATTAGGGTTTAATGATTTTGTAGTACTTAGAGTATTGTTGGTCCTAGTGATCATTAAATTAAGTAATATAGGGTGGTGGTCTTAGTGATGTTTAACAATACTTGTTTAAAATTACTGTAACTGTGTCAGAATTGTTTTTTTAGTTATCTTATGTTTGGTATTGTTTTGTTGAAATTTATTGTTTTAGGTTTTAATCCTGCTTTTCAAAAGTTATACAAGCTGGAAATGCATTATGGTGGTCAGTTTGGTAGTACAGAATTAAGTCCATATGTTGGTGGTTCAGTTGAGATATATGAGGGTATAGACAGTGATCTCATGTCAATGATAGAACTTACATACGTGATAGGTTTGCTTGGTTGTCCTACTATAACAAGTAAACTATTCTACAGGTTTTACATTGATGGG